TACTCTGTACTGGCCGTCGTGGAGCGATAGCATTTACCCAATTTCAGACTAATAGAGTGAATTTGACGTGCACACTAAAACCTTTCCGATTTGGTGCCACCTCTGATTTGAAGCGAAAAATTGGGCAACTTGGAGGCAATGGGTCAACACAAAGGAGTGGATCAGTTCGATTGACTCTGGCCTCAGAGCAAACTTCAACATGCCAGTTTCCTTCCACAAACATATTTCGAGTGAACAATCAACGCTGATGATAGGTTTGCATGGTTTGGGCATACAAATTTGGCTGACCTGTCAAGCCGTTGTCGCCTCTACATGGTGTATGCGAGCCTGTCAGCATGTGAACAGTAAAGTAACTGCAGTCTGCAGACCCGGTCTGCCAGTAGAACTACCACTACCACTATGAAGACTTTAAAGGGGAAGTTAAAGGGGAAGTATACCCTAAAATCAAATTTTCACCAGTTGTAGTCTTTGGGGTGCTGAGTCGAATGGTCTTGGTCCGAGGAAGCTGAGACGCTCCCTTCCTACTTGAATCCCAATCGAACTCGCGCACTTCCACCGAAACTGGGTGACTGCGCCCTACTAGATGGGGATTTGTATGCAAAATGTCACTAAAAGCGCCATTTCGTTCTTATAAAAGCACGGATGACCGCGATTGGCCCATATGTTGTAGTCTTTTGGACGCTGAGTCGACTGGTTTTGGTCCGAAAAGGCTGCGATGCAGCGTTCCGCCTTTATTCCCAATCGAACATGGTTGAACAAGCGGTCACGTGCTCCTGCGTACACCAGTCAGCTGGTCACCGTGCCTGCAGGGTACAACTTACTAGCCTGTTTGACCTTTTTTGGGTGCAGTCCTGTCACTCGAGTTGAACTCGAGTTGAACCTTGGTGTGAAAGTTGTCGCCTGCTGGCGCGGTGACCAGGTGATTTGGGCACCCAGGAGCACGTGACCGCTTGTTCAACCATGTTCGATTGGGAATAAAGGAGGAACGCTGCATCGCAGCCTTTTCGGACCAAAACCAGTCGACTCAGCGTCCAAAAGACTACAACATATGGGCCAATCGCGGTCATCCGTGCTTTTATAAGAACGAAATGGCGCTTTTAGTGACATTTTGCATACAAATCCCCATCTCGTAGGGCGCAGTCACCCAGTTTCGGTGGAAGTGCACGAGTTCGATTGGGATTCAAGTAGGAAGGGAGCGTCGCAGCTTCCTCGGACCAAGACCATTCGACTCAGCACCCCGAAGACTACAGCTGGTGAAAATTTGATTTTAGGGTATACTTCCCCTTTAAGGCAAAAATTAAAATTTCACCAGTTGTAGTCTTCGGGGTGCTGAGTCGAATGGTCTTGGTCCGAGGAAGCTGAGACGCTCCCTTCCTACTTGAATCCCAATCGAACTCGCGCACTTCCACCGAATCTGGGTGACTGCGCCCTACTAGATGGGGATTTGTATGCAAAATGTCACTAAAAGCGCCATTTCGTTCTTAGAAAAGCACGGATGACCGCGATTGGCCCATACATGTATGTTGTAGTCTTTTGGACGCTGAGTCGACTGGTTTTGGTCCGAAAAGGCTGCGATGTAGCGTTCCACCTTTATTCCCAATCGAACATGGTTGAAGAAGCGGTCACGTGCTCCTGCGTACACCAGTCACCTGGTCACCGTGCCTGCAGGGTACAACTTACTAGCCTGTTTGACCTTTTTTGGATGCAGTCCTGTCACTCGAGTTGAACCTTGGTGTGAAATGTGTCGCCTGCTGGCGTGGTGACCAGGTGATTTGGGCACCCAGGAGCACGTGACCGCTTGTTCAACCATGTTCGATTGGGAATAAAGGAGGAACGCTGCATCGCAGCCTTTTCGGACCAAAACCAGTCGACTCAGCGTCCAAAAGACTACAACATATGCGCCAATCGCGGTCATCCGTGCTTTTATAAGAACGAAATGGCGCTTTTAGCGACATTTTGCATACAAATCCCCATCTAGTAGGGCGCAGTCACCCAGTTTCGGTGGAAGTGCGCGAGTTCGATTGGGATTCAAGTAGGAAGGGAGCGTCTCAGCTTCCTCGGACCAAGACCATTCGACTCAGCACCCCGAAGACTACAACTGGTGAAATTTTAATTTTTGCCTTAACTTCCCCTTTTTAAAAGTATGATACAGTGCATGCGGCCCAGTACAGCTACCGGTAGCTAACATCGCATTTGGCCGGATTTTTTTGGCGACGACTGTAGATCTACTCCCTGCCCGCATGCCCCTGCATGCCTGCTTCAAGTGGTTGTACTGTCGCGGACATGGAAATCCAGTCGATTGACCGGGGCCGGCGCCCTCAGCGCGTACAGAACGTAAATCGTTGCATCCATGCAGGCATGTTGACCCTGGCCTATGCGTCTGCGACCAGCAGCTAGCAGCGCATACATGTACATGCTACGGCTGCATGGTCAGCGCCCTGTGGCCGCTAGACGTGCGACCGGATTTCCATGTCCACGACAGTAGGACTAGAAAAAAAGTAATATTAGTTTCAGGAAAAATGGAGAAAAAAAAAGAAGAAAAAAGGACTACTCGTAGCTACGCAGGGCGCGCGTGCAGGACTAACTGACTGTACTACTACTACTACTTAGTCTTTGAGTTTGAGCAGCAGCACGGACTATACTACTACTAGTACTACTAGTCGGTTGTATTTTTTTCATTTGTCGAGCCTACAAAAAATGTACAAGCTGGCAAAGCAAGGATTTATTCTAACATTAAAAATTCCATTTTTACATAATAATAATAAAAAAATAAACTGTGCTGCGCTGACGAGTCCACAAAGGACGAAACAGTTCTGTCCGCAGATTGAGTAATAATAATAATGACATAAGTAGACTAGACTCTACATGTACATGCATTTTCACCTTTGAGATTCCCATGACCATGGCATGATGACACTTGACAGGCTACAACTTAGTACAAGTCATGTCTTATCTCGCCTTTGGAAAATCAATAAAATGAAAATGAAATGAAATTCTCATTATCATGAGCATGAGCTGGTTTCCTTCGGAAAAGGCATACAAGTAGTGTACGCAGAGTCTGTTCAGTGATGTGTGAGTAACAGTCAACGAAAACTCTGCATTCCCAAACCTACGCGGAGTGAACAAAATAATTATGCTGATGGTACATTTACAAGAAGCGGATTAGTGAAGAAACTGCTGAGCACAGCGCTAGCCCTATCAATATCGCACATCATGTCCGTAACCGTGGCCTTGGCTCCTGACAATGAAAAGCAGTTCGAATCTATCTGGAGGGCAGCGTTCGCTACAGCTGACCCAACGGAGTACATGGCGCTAAATTCCACAGGATATCGACCCGTTTGTCCAGAACTGCCCAGCTACTGTAATACAATATTGGACTGCGGTGCCCTGTTTGGCAACACTTCACTGGCGTGCATGTACGGATGGGATTTCAACCGATCGTGTGAGTTTTGGAAAGCTGGCGTGGCACTGAGCGAGAAAGACAGGCAGCACACACTGCTCAACAGGCGACTGAAAATGATTGGACTCGACGTCATGCCGCTGGCGCTTGACTATGCCAAGAAAATGAACATCCTGGACGAAACCATCGTGCAGGACTTCAGAGAGCGGATGCTGGATGAGACGCGAGCAGCGTTGCAAGAGTCAGACGTGTGGATCATCCAGCAGTGCATGCATTACATGCCCAAGGATACACTGAGTTGCTGGATGACTGTTTTCTTACAGGATCGCACTCGGCCGAAATGTTTCATGTACGACGCTCTCCCAGATTACGACACGCGGAACATGAAGCCGGACGCACTGCTGGAGGGTGTCACCGGCTACACACACACTGAAACGTCGCATATATATCGCCAGTGGGCGCCTGACGAGAAAGCTGTTCACACGGGAGACGGTGGAGAGGGAAAAGACGATGACATGTACCTTAGTTATTATGTAGTGAATTTTCAACCATTGGATTCACCCGCCTAATCAACCAGGGTGAGCGGGCCGGAAGCCTGGTAACAGCCTTATACAGCGTATGCCCGATTTATCCTAGCCCCGGTATTGATTTCTCCTCTATCGATCACAGTGCTTTCAATATTCACGCAATGGTTGGAAAATTGGTATTAGCTGCAGGCTGGGGACATTTGCCGTAACAAGTTGTCCTTTCACAAGAATTCTGATGCCATATACCTGGCCCATTGTTTGGCTTTTGCTCGCTTCCGCACTCCGCTGTGATCTCCTTTCAGCCAAGCATAGCACCGGCTTTGGTACCTGTTATCCTGTTGTAGTGTGCCCAATTTTCATATTCGGAAGCTGGTGTACCTTTGAAGCAAACACTGCAACAGTAGATAACTAGGTTGATACTTCAAAATTTCCCGAGTTCCCTCGGCAGACGAGTAATGTAATTTATTATCCCGAAGCTTTCTTTTCTCTTTTTAGTGCTTTCTACTTCGAAGTATTTCTAAAACTTCTGCCAATCCCCCCCAGAACCCACGACCCACAATTCATTGTCGATATGGCTTTACTTCTGGGCATCATCGTGCATTCAGAGCATCCTGAGGATAAGAGGACAGAAGTCCCGTTGTTCTGTACATGCCTATATGGAGTAAGTTCTGTAAGGATTGTTAGAATATACTGCGGGGTTGTATGCATGCAATGGACGTACTGCCTCCCTCTGCGTATCTCCATGATTGTGCATAAAATCTTCACCTCTTTTTGGATATTCGCCCATATATTATGGTCATCATCATGGGGAGAAAAACAACAGTTTATGACATATAAACTTTGATCCTAGAGGGTGGTGGCGTTCCCACGACGGATGCGGAAAACTGGGCTTCCAGCCGAGTCTCACGTGAACCGTGATTTTTTACAATATCCATTTTTTTGCGGTTACGTCATCAATTGAGATGCTTTGGTAAAGCACCACGGCACAGCAATGCACTAGATGAGGCAAAAATGCCAACTCGTGCCGTATCCTGTGTGCCCATAAGCGAATCCGCTACTTCACCACCATGACATCGTTTCCATAAACTCAGAGAGAGGCTTTATCTTCTCACAAATAAGTATACAGATTTTAAAGAAAAAGTAATAATTATGAATATGAAAGCGCCAAGTTGAGTTGCAAAGAAACATGTCAAAAAATAATCTCAGGAAAAGCGGAAAAAACATTTTTGTGGAAGTTCTTGTAAAGCATAGAGATTATCCCTTGATATAACCAATTTACAATCACTTCACAAAATACATTATACTTTAGTACCGGTACTGTACATGAGTATGGCCTATGCACACTATAGACCAAGACATTGTTACACTTGGTGGGCAAGACTGAGTTGCAGCACTTGTCACTCAGACCGACAAAAGTTGATTTTCACCATAGCTAGGAGTATACGCGGTCAGGAAAATGATTGTCACTCAGGATAAGGCCTGGCCCCGCGCACTCAGTAGAGACAGTACCTCACATGCCAGCCCGCACACACTCCGGGCCTCATGCACCATAGGCATAGCCCCCATGCTCCTGCGTTACTCATCAGTGCCACATTGTAATGTTGCGGGGTTTTACTCCAGAGTACCTCCTACACTGCGGTGCACACAGCCTAGACCGTCACATTGTGCAGAGCCTCAGGAAAATCAACCCCCGCCAAACATTCACCACGCGGCCATGATTACCTTCGTCCGAATGTGTTCATAGTGGTCGCCGAGGTTCAAGAGAAGATTCTCCGTAGCTCTGCATGACGCGGTCTGTGCCCAGTGACACCATAGGATGCTAACCAACACCGCCACCATGCTGCTGATAAGGAAGAACACAAGCAAGGTGCACGCTGATACAGCATGTGCCGAGTCCTCAGCTACTTCTGCACATTGGAGCAAACAAAACCAAAAGAAGCGGTATAATTATGGTTGTGCCTGGACACATTGCTAAGGCTCGCACTGAATCCCCCCCCCCCCCCCCACACACACACACCTGGTCCTGGTCCTGGTATACACTGCCATGTAGGTCACGTGTTTCTCGTTGAGCGAGACGGAGACGAGAGGAGACATGAGCGTTGGTGACGGGATAAGTCGTTTCGCCTTTTGAAACGCCTCTGGCAATTCTGACATTGCAATTGGAACTTGTCCCTTTCATCAGCAGTTGGGCGCCTGGTGGATCGGTTGCAGTTGTGGATAGCAAAGCCCCGGATCGACTTACAGCAGCGTTCACAAATGGGACAGTGAGCGGTACAGCACGGTTTTCGAATACATAGGCGTACAGGTGAAGAGCTTGTGGCATTGGCAACATTCGGGGCAGAATTGGACTGGACACAGCGATGGACTGCAATGCCACCCGCACTCCGAAACCATCGGTGACACTGGGAGCACTGGCGGCTGTTGGCTTGCTGCTGGACTGGTTTACGCCGTTCCATGATGCACTTGTGGCGGGCGATATCTTGCTGCCGAGCAAATGCACGCCGGCACACCTCGCAGACTATCTCCCGAGCCGGTTTCTGAGCTGGTTGTATTGCTCGATAAGCTTGCCGCCACTCAGATCGTTCCTGCGCTGTGTCAAACCATGACTCGTCGGCACATACACACACACATGACTGATATTGTTCCATCTAAGCTCCACATTGGGTATAGAGGGAGTGCAATTCTGACACAGAAAATACAGTACAGTCAGACCTCGCATAATCGTACACATCCGTTTTCACGAAAAATATCCAGATAGGCAAGGGAACCGGATAATTGGACACGCATACCGTATGTATACATGGCATATGCTGTAAATCGGTAACCAACGATTTTCTTCCGGATGGCGAGGGATCCGGATTAACGAGGACCGGATAAGCGAGGTCTGACTGTACCACTAGAACTTGATAGCGTACAAGCAGCTCTTGTCCTTCCAATGACAGGAAATGGGTGCTGTGCCAGGGCCATCATGTACTACAAGACGTACTACTTCTTCAGTTCATGGAGAATGCATGCTTTTAGATTTTATGGAGTTCAGTGGAAACCAAAAACATACTAGTAACTGTACTCCATCACCACACACCCGTACATCTAGATGAATAGAAACAGCTGAAGACGTTCCTTACCGTAACTACTCTGCACATCAGCTCCTGTTCTCTGCTCTTCGGCCACATGCCTGCGCCGTCGACCATCAGAAGTCGTGAGTATCTTGTAGCCACTGGAACCTCGACCATGGTCTGACTCCCCTGATGGTGAATGGCGTCGGACCGAGGTCTCATCAGTGTCACTACTCTCAACAGGTGTCTGTTCAGCATAGCCAGCATTCAAGCGTGACTCAGTCCCGTCTATAGCCGTTCGTGCTCTGCCGCCGGCACGTAGACGAATGGCCTGCACTCGGTCTGGCGTGGACGCTGAGCAGCTTGGGATTTCTGCTCCAGCTGGTAGATTGCCATCACCAGAACTTGTTGTTTCATGATGACACTTGCTGGGCTGGTCTCCAGATGACCCGCCTGCTGCCATTGTGGACAACGGTGATTCTTCAGCTGGCTCTACAGTCAATAGAGCATCTGCATGAGCGGCCAGACACACAGAGTTCAAAAACAATCGCCGGCTAACTTACTGATACGCATAAACGCCAAGTACTAGATGATCACCTAACACCTATACCTCGTGTTGTTCAGTACTTGATAAGCAGTGCCACTTGAATGTGCACGGTAACACAGCTACTACTATTACTACTACTACCACGGGGTATCACACCTCCCTTTGCATGACCAAAGAGCCATCCATCATGCACTATGTACAGTTCACATCTGGCGGTCAATGCCAACCTACGGGCTTTACTGCAAGCCGTCATGAATCAGTGAATGCTCCACACCTATACATACTTCACAACTGATGATCAATGACAACCTACCGGGTCGCCCACAACGTACCAGCATATTGCTTTCGGCCCACTTCCGCATAAATGCCAGCAAACATATCCAAAGACTGGACAGTTTTCGGGTGATCTTCCCCAAAGACTTTCTGCCTGAGCTGGGAAGCCTGCAGGACAAACAAAACACACAGCCGTTACAAAACTCTGTTTGCCTTTTGTTTCTATTCTGAACTAGGCACCTGTCCTAGGAGTACAGTGAGTGTGATACAGTACCAGAAACAGCTAGAAACAGAAAGAAAGCCTTCAAACATGGCAGCCATCGCCCATCAAATGTATACTTCTTTGGCGGTTAGTTATGCGAACGTGGACGGAGTTTAGGTCATCAGTATCTGGAATTTTTACAAATTTACCTTGCAATTACGCATTTAGTTTTGGGGATGGGCTGGTTTTTCTGCAGTTGAATTCCACGTCGACAATTTTAGCCAGGGTCAAATTTTGGTGAAGATACCAAAAGGAATGTGTTCAGGAAACTATCCCATCCAATTGGGAAGGGAATTACAAGTATAGGTTAAACATGACCAGGGCCGTAGTATCGGGATTTCAGGTGATCCGGTTTAATGGACATTTGACCTGAAATGAACAATATTGGCGAAAAACAAGTTGTGCACAAATTTGCATGGTCAACTTTTTTGGAATAAGGCCCGGCCATCCGGGCCAGACTGGGTGTTACGGACCTGGTGGGCACTGTCTTTTCCTGCCTGGAGACTCTTGGCTATCAAAGTGTACTGGCTACCAAAGTGTCTCAGAATCGGAGTACATTGTAGTTGAGGCAACAGCTTGTACCGGTATCTGCCCTACCAAACAGTTTATACAGTAGTCACCATGGTGACCCCGACTGGGACAATGCACTCGGAGTGCTGACTCACCTTTCCACAATAATCCAGTGCTAGCTTTGGCCTGCATAGAGCAACACAGATCACATAGCACCAGGGCGGGGGGGGGGGGGGGGTCGGGGTAAATTATACAATGCACTTATTAATGTTTAGAATGAGGTGAAGTTTGAGTCAGAACAACGACGAGAGAACACCAGTCATAGAACAATCGATACCAATTTAGATAGGAATAGACCCATGTGGAACGGACAACGGCGGCAGCAGCAGCAGCAATAGCAACAACAAACAGCACCATATCCAGACACACTCCCTGCCAGACAGAGAAAGATAGGGTGCGAGTCCGAAACAATGACGCATGCAACGCTTGTAGCGGCTTGTGCTACGCTACCTTTTATCACTTAGGCAGAGCTTGGAGAGACGTTCAAACTCATCTGCTCTTCGGGCCAGTACTTCGTCCGTGGACAATTCTTCCTGGAGATTGAAAAGGAGGTGAAACGCGTCATAGTCAGAGAAAAGCGAACCCGCAAACTAACAGTCAGACGAATTCTTTGAAGTTTAAAACATACCAGGGAAGCGCCATCCGAAAGATAATGCTGTTATCAGTGTAGTGTGTGGGACAATGATTATGCCTCCAGCAACTCAATCTGTATACACAACTGTTTCATCCTTTATGGACTCGTCAACGCTGCCGAATCTAAATACTTCTGGCTTATCAGGGGCGTAGGAGGGGTTTTGGAAGTGGTACGACCGAAGGTCGGTGCGGCGGAAGGCCGTGTTGGAGGGGGGTCCGGGGGACGTCCCCCGGGAAAATTTTGTAAAAAGGACACAAAATCCTGCGTTCTGGGAGTTACTTCTGGCGAGGGAGTAGTAAAATACACTACTCCCTGCTTCTGGCACACTTCTGGCGCAGAGTGCAGTCGAGTCGAGTACAGTACTCAGTACGACTGCAGATGCATAACAGATCTACGAGTACGAGTCTAGAAAAAAGGTCAAAGTCTGATGCGTATGCATCGATGGATCCTGATTTTTTTTATTACGGTTTTGCACGTTCCGGACGGACCACACTTTTCGAAAAGTGGTACGGCCATGGTCGTACCAGTCGTAGCGGGTGCTACGCCCCTGCTTATTATGAAAGCAAATCAATGGAGATGCACTGGCCAAGCACCCTGGACTCTGAGTTCTTAAAGCTATTATTCATTTTCTGCTGCACCCGGTTATTTCTTTTATTAGTATTATTATTTTCTTTGCCTTCGCTTTCTTGTTATTGGGCAACTTACTTGCCCGTTAGAATCTGCGAAGTAAAATAAACAACAACAACAACAACTCTCCTGTCCGGCAGGCTAGAGTGGACATGAAACAACCAATGAGGGCACTTGTGCCGTGCTCTTCCCACAACTCACTCAACCTCTCCAATGGGAAACAAGAACTCCGTAATAGAAAGTTCACAGGACTATTTATAGCAACATGACCAGTTACACGAACCTCGGTCAACATGACCAGGCATTGAGGCAAGCTCAGCTATGTGCAGTAAGCGGGCACGCAGAAGTTGAAAAATGTGGTTCCCAACCTCGTATTCCTCGCACATGTATCAGCTAAAGTTGAATAGATTCAGGCATGATAATATACTGCAGTTGTGAATGTCAATTTGATCCAATCACCACCAGTGCCTGTGGCCTCATATCTAAATCCAGGCCATGACACTAGTGGAGGTCTGTTAATTCACAGCTCGCATACTGATGAAAAACAACGAGTGAAACATTTCAATCTCCCTGGCTGTTTTTCTTCTTCTTTTGTTACTCCACTGGTTGTGCCAAAGAGTGCTTTTCTTTTTTCACTTTGTTTTATTTCGCATATCCAAATGGGAATTTCTTCCCTCTAGGTCTGCTGTTGTAGGTACGCCCATCAACACAGCTGACCAGAGCATACATACAATGTCATGTAACCAGTGCATGTATCCAATAGCACATAACCACCGCCAAACAAACTGCATACAATACACATACCTTGCCATCCCCTGTTGGATAGATCAGCGACAAGCGGCAAGGAAGTACATGCAGGAGAGAAAACACAAATCATCAACCACGCACCAATGATAACATGAATGAAATGCGTGCAATGGGTGGTAAACTAAAACCTTTGTTGCACAAACACCTAAAAAAATTAAAGATGACCAAGTTCCACATACATCAATTATTGTTAAAAATGGAAATTATTACCCCACGCCAAGTTCTGATTTCCCAAACAACAGATATCAGTGGATAAACCCAGAAAAGGGCATCACAAGTGAGAACCGCTTCCAAAGAAATCCTGTGACTAAAATGAAAAGGTATAATAGTATGAAAATCTAGGGCAAAAAAGGATTTCGACATTGTGTAAACCCCATCAGCATCAACAGTTTTCAACAAAATGGGACTATCTTAGTGCCAATACCAGTCTTGCGTATTTGAAAGTCTTTCTAGGATTTCAGCGTCACTGAGATTGCCGAGCGAACCATTATCACAATCTACATGTACATGTAGAGTCATGCTAGATGAAATCCAAACCAAGGGGCATATTTGGTGCCCAAGACTGGCACGACCCTTGCTTTTTGTATTTGCAATAAACCCTGTATGTTGCATTTTGCATGGTAAGACAATTTTGGACAATGGAAAAATGGGTCATGGGGTACCTTTTTCCCATGCCCGCCCCCTACTATATTGACCTGGCCAGAACCCTGTATTTTTATTATTTTACTTGATGTGCAGGTAGTGGTGCCAATGCTACAGATCATAGATCATACACATGCAGAAGTACACTGAGGTGATGGGAATTGATTCTTGGCGCGATCTTTTGCACTTTGGGCTGGATTCCACCTGCTACCTCTCTAGCATGGAAAGCGCAGCAACAGCAGCAGGTGTACAACTATTGCAGTGCGAAGTCGTAGCTGCACCAGCAACACGTTGAGGCGATCGGTGGTGTTCTTTTTTTCCACTTTTCACGACATGCGCGTGACCATCGCTCAACTTGTTAGAGCAAATTCCACCGTGTGCCTCTTAGCAATTGCAAGCGTACGTCGTTACAACAAGTGAGAAAGTGACCATCCATCGATAGAGCCTACGACATTCACATAAGCAGCACTGTGCAGTGGTGCAGTAGGAGTAGAAACAGGATTGCCACTTATCCATGTTAAGTATATTGTGGCTACCAATGGAGCTGGCAACACTTCCGCGAAGATGGCAATGTTTCACCTGCATGTGCGCATGTGTGTAGTGCTTTTTCGTGCCTCCATGAAAGTGCGCGCCAGTTTCACACGTACACCTGAATTAGCAGGCACATTGTCTTCTTGCGTAGTCATGAATCTATGGAGACAGGCTGGTGTATTTTTGAGTGATAATTTTTCACTAAAAAATGAACGGGTGCATATTCGACACTGGGGCCCGCATTGGCGGTTTTTGAGCAAAATGGTGACTTTGGCAGGCTGGTGTTGAATCCAACACCTCTTTGAACATACCCTTAGGGATTGCAGAGTTTAAAAGCATCTAGAGCTGCTGATCACAACCATTCATGTGTCCAGGGACAATACCATCATCTCTATTTTATCCGCGGAGTCAATACCGCTGGCAACGGCTGTCACAAGATTTCCGCTCCGCCAGTCACCATGAAAAAACTCGGCATCAAGCGTCAACGGCCGCATGATGATGACCGCCAGCAGAAATCAGTACGGATGTCAGATCTAACTGCCCTTGCTGAGAAAGAGGATGAGCAGAAAGCACCTGAACAACTTAAAAGTGATGATCATCGCAACTCAACCAGTGAAACGGAGGATCAACAACAGGGATCATCATTGATGTTGAATTCTCTAGCGTTCCCTGACCAGAAAGAAGATGAGCAGAAAGCACCTGAACAGCCTAAAAGTGATGACCACCGCAGTTCAGCCAGTGAGAATGAGGATCAACAACACAGATCGGCATTTCTAGCTGTCCCTGATCAGGATGAGGATGGCGCATTCAAGTCCCCTCATCCACAAGACAAATTCACCCAGTCAGAACTGGGTGAAAGTACCAGTTCTTCCAGTAGCCTTGGCCTGACAGCAGACGGCCAGGAAACAGCTGAGGAAACCGTGCCAGATCCAGCAAATGATGATCTAGCATGGAACGTGAATCCACTTTATCAACCCAGAGTCCTGGACGGAACACACAAGTCGGAACCTGGTGAAAGTACAAATCCTGCCAGTTCCTCGGCACAAGGCGGTACCAGTTCTTCCAGTAGCCTTGGCCTGACAGGAGACGACCAGGAAACAGCTGAGGAAACCGTGCCTGATCCAGCAAATGATGATCTAGCATAGATCATGAATTCAGTTTATCAACCCAGATTGCCAGACGAACACACCAGTCGGAACCCGGAGAAAGTACAAATCCTTCCAGTTTCCTGGGCACAAGGCGGCACACAGGAGAGCCAGCAAAGGTCAAATGCAGATGATCAGCCTTACTCTGATTCTGAATTACCTCACAATGATTTTGTCGACTCTCGCACTGGAATCGCAATGGAATTGCGAGAGAATGATATTGGGTAAAATAGCACTTTAGACACACCAGAGACCCACCATGTAATCATAAGTTTCCTGTCTGCTCACATGCATCGCATCTTCTATTCGTATAACATTGACCTTGAAATCGCTGTCTAGTCTTAAAATATTATGTCCTTGCACTCAATCAGGCTTGACCTCTTCTGCAAAGTCGAAACAGATGTTTAACCCTATCGACTAACTTTCAATCGCATTCATTTCACTAACTACTTTCCAAAGTCTTGTTTCTTATTGATGCATCGTCTTGTTTTGTTATGGTTATTGTAGCAGAATGCCATGGCTTCTACTAAAGCTGTGCTATCCATGTCAATTGGATGCCTTCCACTCGCCGCATATCCGATAATTATATCACATTCATTTATATAATTAGCGGCTGCTAAATTTCGCCTCATTACTGCACTGGACTGTCTTGAAAGACACCAGAGTGCTATCAATGAAATCATCAGAAACTGCAGATTGCCTTAGTGTTCATGGAAGCTTGGTGACCTGTACTCCCTACGTCCCCGATTCCCCTACAACCTGTACCCGATTCCCCTACAAAGATGTTCCCCTTGTCGCAGTCAAGACGGTGGCGCATAGGCTCTAATAGACCGATCCCCTTATTATACTGGGTTCGAGCACGGGGGCAACCTCACTCGCGATCGAGCTAGTTTTTGAACGTGACAGCATCTTTGACAGTGTGTTTCAGGTTTGTTTTGGAATGTCTTCTGCTTAGTTCAAGTAGTATCAAAAAGTATTCTTTCTAGACCAAAGAGTGGTATATTTGATAACATTTAATAACGATAGAAATATTTACGATACTTCTCCATAAAATGTCTAAATATTATCAAATATACCACTCTTTGGTCTAAATGTTATCAAATATACCACTCTTTGGTCTTGGAGAAGTATCGTAAAAATTTCTATCGTTATTAAATGTTATCAAATATACCACTCTTTGGTCTAGAAAGAATACTTTTTGATATTACAATGAGAGTGAATAATCAACGGCTTGTCCACCAACTCTTTAGTTCAAGTAGTTTGCGATGGCTTCGAGCGGTGCTAAACCTCCTGCTGGTAGGAGCAGAGTCTCCGAGAGTGACATGGACTTTTCTTTTTTTTAAATGTTTATTTGAATTCGGATAGCTCAACAGTACAGAAGTACAACTACAAAGAGTACCGAATAGAAGGCCCCGAGAACGGGAAACCAAAAAAACAAAAACAGCAACATCAAGTAGTTACTGATTATGCACATTGCTTGAAAGCAAATCACAACAATGATTAAGAGTTAAGCTGTCTTTTGTGTGATGCCGCTGCAGGATTTTTTCAAGGCGCGGGAGGGAACGATCTCGGGCCACAAACAGGAGTTACTCCAGAGGTGAGTTTTTGTTGTTGTTGAAATATTCGAATCGCGAATCGTGTTGTGAGATTTATTTTGTGCCTAGGCTACAGCAGACCATAGTATTGCTTTCTCCTTGCGATCGGTGCTGAAGATAATAGTAACCTTTTTCTGGTCTGTCTTTTCCTCTCCAGAGCCATCTTCTATGAAGGCAACCGTGGTGCTGCCAAGTCACCAAGTCACGATCAGCAGCCCTGAAGTGGGAAAATCGATTTTCCAACGATCTGGTTGGACATCAGCCACTAAAGTACTTCTGATTTGCCTGTAGTGACAACAGCAGCCATCCTTGGACACCTTGCAAAGACAGGAAAAGCCACTGGTGGAAGCGACTGCTATGAGGTGACGATAGCAGTGCAGTGGTGATCGCTGTTTTGTCAAGTCGAAAGGCTAGCCAACCCAGAGGAAGCATAAAAAACCGATGAGCAGTGCGTGGCATTTGTTGAGCGTGAAGAGCTAGAGGAGGACAGTGCAAACACATGGACGGAGTGGATGGTGTTTGAAGAACAGTGTGCTGTGTGCCGGCTGGTGGTGATGGTGGTCTTTGTCAGCATGTATTCGTGCTGCTTCTTGTGCTGGAACACTTCTCGCCCAGGAAGGCAGATTGCGTGCTGCCTGGCCCTCAGTTGGCAATGGGGCATTTGTTCCAGGAACATTACCCCAGAGCCAAAGATGAGTCGTACCTTTGAAAAGTCGAAGCTTGCTGTTAATCGCAAGCGTAGCGCAGTGGATTGCTCCCTGTTCGAAGCACGAGGGCCAAAGCTTGCCGCTGTCTGCAGCAAAGTGTGTGTGCTGTTCTTTCGAACCTATGAATATACCCCCCCCCCCTGCATGTTCAGAGTGAACTATTTTCTAGTATATTTAACATCCTCAACCCGCCACCACCATGCGCTCTTGACCGAACTAATGCACGAAGCATAAACACACCAGCACAGCAAGGACACTTCCGTTGACAGATATTGTTTACGCCTCTAGACCGCTGTTTCTTTTCTTCGAGCTCATCGTTAGAGGAGGATAGCAGCAGGATACTAATGATGATATAATATAAGATGATAGACGGTTTATGGTCCGATAT